CTATAGCTTTGTAATGCAGTTTGAAATTAGGAAGTGTGATGACTCCAGCCTTGTTCTTTTTTCTCAAGATTGCTTTGACTATTTGGGGTCTTTTTGGTTCCATACACATTTTTGGATTGTTTTTTCTATTTTATGGAAAATGCCATTGGAAATTTAATAGGGATTGCAATGAATCTGTAGATTGCTTTGAATAGCATGGACATTTTAACAATATTGATTCTTCCAATCCATGATCATAGACTATCTTTCCATTTATTTTGTGTTTTCTTCAATTTCTTTCATCAATGTATCATATAGTTTTCAGTGTACAGACCTTTCACACTCTTGGTTAAATTTATTTCTTGGTATTTAATTCCTTTTGTTGCTATTTTAAATGGGATTATTTCCTTTTTTAAATTATGTTATGTTAGTCACCATTGTCCTCAATATCTCTTTCTGGTTTTTTAATTAGTTTATAGAAATGCAATTGATTTTTGTATATTGATTTTGTGTCTTGCAACTTTGCTGGATTTGTTTATTCTAACAGGTTTTTTTTGGTGGAGTCTTTAGGGTTTTCTATATATAATACCATGTCATCTGCAAATTGACAGTTTTACTTCTTTCTTTCTGAGTTGGATGCTTATTAATTCTTTTTCTTGACTAATCACTCTGGCTAGGACTGCCAGTACTATGTTGAATAAAATTGGCAGGAGTGGGCAACCTTGTCTTGATCCAATCTTAGAGAAAAAGCTTTCAGCTTTTCACCATTGAGTATAATGTTAGCTGTGGGCTTGTCATATAGGATATGTATTATGTTGAGGTATGTACCCTCTCTATATTTTTTATTGAGAGGTTTTATCACAAATGGATGTTGAATTTTGTCAAATGCTTTTCCTGCATCTATTGAGATGATCATATGATTTTTATTCTTAGTTTTATTAGTGTGGTGTATCACATTGATTGATTTGCAAATGTTGAACCATCCTTTCATTCCTGGAATAAATCCGACTTGATTATGGTGTATAATTCTTTTTCTGTACTGTTAAATTCAGTTCGCTAATATTTTGTTGGGGATTTTTGCATATGTCTTTATGCAAATTCTGTCCTAAACCCCACTGCAGCATGGTTTTGGTCTGGTTTTGGTATCAGGGTAATGTTGGCCTTGGAAGTTTTTCCTCCTCTTCTGTTTTTTTGGAAGATTTTGGAAAATATTGGTAAGAATTCTTTAAATGTCTGGTAGAATTCACCAGTGAAAGTCATCTGATCCTGGACTTTTGTTTGTTAGGAAGTTTTTTATTAATGATTCAATCTTCTTTCTAGTAATTGGTCTGTTCAGATTTTCTATTTATTCATGATTCAGTCTTGGTAGGTTTTGTTTCTAGGAATTTATCCATTTCTCATAGTTTGTTCAATTTATTGGGTATAATTGTTCATTGTAGTCTCTTGTGATCCTTTGTATTTGGGTGATATCAGTTGTAATGTCTCCTCTTTCATTGCCAGTTTTATTTATTTGAGTCTTCTTTCCTTTTTTGTTGGTTAGTCTAGCTAATGATTTGTCTATTTTAAAAATCTTTCCCAAAAACCAGCTTTTATTTTCATTGATCTCTTCTATTGTCATTTTAGTCTCTATGCTATTCATTTCCACTCTGATCTTTGCTGTTTTCTTCTTTCTACTAACTTTGGGCTTAATTCCTTAGTTCCTTGAGGTATGAATTAGGTTTTTATTTAAGATCTTTATTTTTTCTTCATGTAGGCATTTATCGCTACAAACATCCCACTTAGGACTACTTTTGCTGCGTCCCATAAGTTTTGGTATTTGTATTTCCATTTCCATTTGTCTCAAGATACTTTTTAATTTCTCCTTTGACCTATTGGTTGTTCAGGGGCATGTTGTTTAATCTTCATGTATTTGTGAATTTTCCACTTCTCGTAATTTCTAGTTTCATACAATTGTGGCTGAAAAGGATGCATGATATGATTTCAGTCTTCTTAAATTTATTAAAATTTGTTTTGTGACCTAACATGTGATCTACCCTGAAGAATGTTCCATGTGTTCTGGAGAAGAATGTGTTTTCTGCTGCTGTTGAATGGAATGTTCTGCAAATATCTGTTATGTCCATCTGGTCTAATATGTAGTTTAAGGCCAATGTTCCCTTGTTGATTTTCTGTCTGGATGGTCTCGCCCTTGTTTTAAGTGAGGTATTGAAGTCTCCTCCTATTGTTGAATTGCTGTCTATTTCTCCTTTCAGATCTGTTAATATTTGCTTGATATGTTTAGGTGCTCTTACGTTGGGTGCATATTTACAAATGTTGTATCTTCTTGATGAATTGATCCCTTTGTCATTTATAATGCCCTTCTTTGTCTCTTGTTACAGTCTGGCTTAAAGTCTACTTTAACTGATATAAATATAGCTACCCCAGATTTCTTTGGGTTTCCATTTGCATGGAATATCTTTTTCCATCCCTTCATTTTCAGTATAGGTGTCCTTAATGCTGAAGTGAGTCTCTTGTAGGCAGCATATAGTTGGGTCTTTAAAAAAAAAATCTATTAAACCACCCTGTGTCTTTTGATTGGCCATTTGGCCAATTAAACGTGAGATCAAGCAGTTGTTTTTCATGCTGCAGGGGGATTAGGGGTAGAAAACAGTTTGACAAATACCCTATACTTTAATTAAAGTTTAACATTTCCTGTACAAAGGAAATAAATGATAATATGTTATTATGAACTTGCCTGCTTAGATAAATAAAGCCACACAATGGGAATCTTAAAAGACTTTGTTGGAACCTTGAATTATCAGTCATCTCTTTTCTTTTGTTTCCCTGGTAATATTTGGTACATGCCCCTCCTCTCTGTCAGTCCCTAGAGTTAGATGGGAGAATTTTATAGCTTTAAATTGGGCATGGACTTTTATTCACTTATTTTGGAATTCTTTTATTTTTCTACAGCCCTATAATTTGTAGTCCATGGATTTGGGGAGAAAGACTAAGCTTTAGCACTGTCATGAAGAGCAGAGTTGGGATGGGTGAGAAGGTTGATAAGACTTTGAATTTTGTTGTTCCCTAAGGCAGTGGAGCTGGTCCTTACGAGTATAATGTGAAAGGCCATGGAAGAGTCCTTTCTTACTAATGGATGTGATCCTTTAAATTTCATCCCAGGACAGATTCCTCTTAGAAAAGTGTCCCCTTTAAAATACAGACATTACAGTAAGGAGCAAAGCACGAAGATTAAAAGTGTAGATGAGACTGGAAAGGAATTTTGCCATCTTGTATTATAGGGCTTCTCAAAAGGTGGGTCCTCTTAGGTCTTTTCAGGATGTCCATGTTGACATCTGCATTAATGGTGTGAAAACAAATCATCCTAATTTGAATAAAGGCAGTCTCACCAAATGAACCAGTAGTCACGTATTCTTTATCATTATATACTTGCACCTACACGCACACACACACACACACACACGCGTATGCATGCATGCTAGATTCATATAAGAATGTCCTTGAAGCAGTCAAGTTTACTAATTTTATTGGATCTTGACCCTTGAATACATGTCTTTTTAATATTTTGTATGATGAAATGGAAAATACACCTAAAGCACATCTGAGGGTACTGAAGAATGATGATTGTCAAGGAAAAATGCTTTTGTGATTGAATTGTGAACTGAACTAGCTGCTTTTTCATTGGAACTGAATTTTTCTTGAAAGAAGAACCAACAGACAAACTATTGTTATTTAGACTTTAATGTCTGGTAAACATTTTCTCAAAAAAAAAAAATAGGGAATAAAGTAAACCTACCTCTTCAAGGAAAACAACTAATAGTATTTGTTGCCAATGATAAAATTTAAGCTTTCAAATGAAAATTAGAGTTTTGGAAAACTCATATTTGTCATTATGAGATTGGTAGCAGCTCCAATATTTAACAACTTTACTCATGAGATTTGTGGTGATATTAACAAATATGGCATTTTTATATTATATGATGAAAAGTGTCACAATGTGGAAGATCTGAATAATTCAGTGATCCCATATTTTTTAGATGATCAATGCATGATGTTCCAAAATCATGAAGGGTAAAAGGATACATTCAAAGTACAGTATAGAAAGCTGGATTTTGATGTAACAGAGTTATAAAAAGTGCTTTAATATGGTTTCAGATTCCAGGCTGTAACAAACCTTTAAGGAATGGCATTTGTTGAGTGAACAACAAATATCCACAAAGAAGAATATCCATAATTTTCACAACAGATTGAATGCAGAAGCAAATATGAGAATGCAGCTCTCTTCTGCTAAGCCAAATATTAAAGAGACTTGCAAAAATGCAAAGTAATACCACTCTTCTTGCTAAATTGGTTTTGTTTCAGGACATATGGTTTTTGTAATAAAAATATGCTATTTATATTATATGTAATAGATTTACTGCTGTGATCTTTAAATAAAATAATATATTTAAATTTTCTCAGTTTTATTTTTTAAAGTGGTAATCATCAATAGCTATAAGCCACATAAATATGGGGGTACAGTCATTTTTTGAGTGTGAAGGGGTCCTGAGACCAAAAAGTTTGAGAACTGTTGTTGCAGACCAAACTCCTGACTTTACAAATGGGTACCTGAGGCCATGATAGCTGATGTGATTCATCCACTGAGGGACAACTGTAACTAGATCATATCTCTGCAGACCACTGTTCTCATGTTTTCATTGTTGGCATATTTTTCCCCATACTACACTATACTACACGACTACCTTCATACGAATAAGCCGATTAGCTACTCTCCAGTAAGAAAGCCAGATGGGAGTAGGTTCCAATGGAGGTCAGCCGAGGTAGGTCTTTCTCACAGCCTGGGAACGGGAGGCTGGGTGGAGGCCAGCAGGCCTCTTTCAGGCACCAGGTGCCTCTGGGTGGAGAGATGTGTGCTAAGGGGAGGGGAGGCTGGTGCAAGTGGAGAAAGAACATTTCTTACTTCAGATTTTATGCTTCTTGTTCTTAAATACATTGAGCTTTTCTTTATCCCTTGTCTTTTCCTCCAGGGAATTTGCCCGTTGGAAAGTAAACAACTTGGCTCTGGAAAGGAAGGACTTCTTCAGTTTGCCATTGCCTCTTGCCCCAGAGTTTATCCGGAACATTCGCCTCCTCGGAAGGAGACCCAACCTACAACAGGTTACCGAAAACCTGATTAAAAAGTACGGCACTCATTTCTTACTTTCTGCCACTCTTGGAGGTAAGAACATCGTGATCCTACACTAACTGGCTGTCAGATCATTGAATACAGCTTAAAGACCCTTTGAGTATAGCTTGAGTCTTCCTGGGTCTTTGTTCTTCCTGGCCTGTTATTGCCTGAGAAATATTTCCTTTCTGGTGCCTTTGAGAACAATATAATCTCTTGACATCCAACTCACGACATCCAGAACATTGCTATTTGCTTATAAGCATCCTCCTTGAGGAGGGGGTGCTGGGTAAGGAGGTGGGGGGACTGACAGACTCCTACTAAGAACTTGCCAGCAGGGGGCGCTCCCAGTTTTCTTTTGACAGAACCTTTTAACCCAGAGGCTTTTCCACGTCCTAATATTTGCTGTGGCTATAGTTGTCAGACCCTTAGGCAAAGAAGTAAATGTCCATTGAGTCCCTGACCCCTGCTGACCTCTCTAAAAATTGGTAACTGGCCAAACAAATTCCAGTGGTTCTGGGCTGGTTGGGGACGAGGTTGGGAGTGGGGATGGTACAGCTTCTGGCCAAATCAAAACCTCTGAGGAGGCAGAGTTCTCTCTGCCCTAGGAAGAAGAAAGCAGGATTTATTATAACATTTAGCTCACTGTCTGATGGACAAAAAGAATCTCTCCAAGGGTTCAGGCCAGCTGCCGGCATGTGGTAGGTGTTGAGTGTTTGATGGGGAGGAGGGAGGTTGAACTTCAAGGCTTTTGCCCTTTCTGAGGGAGCAGAAATACCCATGGTGACTTCTCATAAACAACTTGAGAGAGAAAATTTTATCTCCCCCATGGAGGTAGATTGCCTGAGACTGAGATCAATAAAGGATGTTAAATGGATAAGCTGGAGGGGAGGGGATGAGCTATGGGATAGTTAAAGAATGAAGGAAAGAGAGGAGGGCCTCTCGGGCAGTGACGCCCATTACCTTGTGCACTGTCTGATGAGACTGTTCTAGAGACCGTGATGGGGAAGAGGTCGTCAGCAGGGGCAACAGACTCCTTCTGAGCGCCGACTATTCTGGCCAAGGGTTTCATGTTTGAATTGGTAGGGGATTAGGGAGCAGAAGGCCTCACCAATGAACCCATGTTGTTTGTGATAGGAGAAGAGTCCCTGACCATTTTTGTGGACAAGCGAAAACTGAGCCGCAAGACAGACACAGCAGGAAGTGCTCCTGTGGTTGGGGCCAGTGGAAACAGCTCTGCCGTGTCCCTGGAGACCCTGCACCAGCTGGCAGCCTCCTACTTCATCGACAGAGAGAGCACACTGAGGCGGCTGCACCATATCCAGATAGCCACAGGGGCCATCAAGGTAACAGCCTGTGAAGTACTGGGAGAGGGAGGGCAGAAAGGCAGAGAGAAACCAAAGGGGAAGCTAGCATCTTAGCCAGCTCCAAGTCAGCCAGACCTGACTGATGGACATGGAAAAGAAGCTTTTTGACACAGGCACAACCAGCCCTAAAATGTCGCCCAGGTCTTCACTGTACAGCCAATAGACATGTAGGCTTCTACTCTGAGGCAGTCTCTAGCCAATGGACTGTTGTGAAAGGTAGACAAGGTCCTTATTCTGCAGAGGTTCCATTCCGGTGAGGGATGAGGATATTAAACAAGTATAAAAGCAAAGTAATTTTAGATAAAGATACAAAGAAAAGACAGAGTCATAAGGTACAGATTTCCTGGGGTGAGAGAAGGGAGCAGCTAATATTAGCCAGGTTGGTCCAGGGAGGTCACTTTGGGTTTAGACTTTAGACAGATGTCAGCCTGACATCTGAAGGATCTGAAGGAAGAGTATTCAGACAGCAAGAACAGTAAATGCTAAGGCCCTGGGGCAGGAACCAGATTGATGCCTTAGAACACAGAAAAGACTGCTGTGACTGCAGTAAGGTGAACAGGAAGATACTGGTACTAAATGGGGTTCAGCAGTAGACTGGAACCAGATTACATAGCCATGATATGGAATTTTAATATGTCAAAGTGCAGTGAAAAACAACCAGAGAGTTCTAAGCAGAGGAGTGATATGATCCCATGCATGTTGGAAAATGATCAATAGTTATTATAACATTAATAATCATAACCTCCATCCCATCTTCTCTACCTATATCTAGGAGATTTCTAGGTAAGTTCATATTGTTTTAAGGAAGGGAAGACCAATGACAATACTTGAGAATGCTGGATTATTTTATTCAAAATACAAAGTTAAGGTGGCAAGTGGTGGTCAGTCTTGTATTATATGCTGCTTTTATCACACCCAAAATTTGAAGGAAGTTTTGTTCATTTATTTATTCATTCAGTAGGTATTTATTGAACACTTGTTATGTGTCATGCACTGCTCTGGCTACAGAGAATCCCAGAGTGAACAAAACATATGAAGTCCCTGCCCTCATGAGGTTTAAATTCTAGTGATGGGGACATCATGAATTAAATATATAATGTCAGGTGGGATTAATGAAATGAAGAGGTGGAGCCAGGGAAGAGGAAAGAGAATGATGGACCTGTTTGAAGAAATGCCATTTAAGCAGAGATCTGAATGAAGGGAGGGAGGGGGCCACATGGGTATCTTGAGTGAGAGCAGGTGCAATTGCCCCAAAGTGGGAGTGTGCTTGTTATGGTCCAGAAACACTGTGTCATGTAGCTGGAGTGCAGTCAAAAGAGGGGTGAAGTGGGAGATGAGCCTACAGAGAAAATTTTATCTTTCGCCCCCCTGGTGGTAGACTGCCTGAGACAGAGATCAATAAAGGATGTTATGATCATGAGGGCATTACTGATTAGGGAAGAGAAGAGAAAGAGGGATCGTGGAGACGGATGCACTGGTCAAGGGAAGAAACAGTGGTGGCCTGCTCAGACAAAGCTGCTCTCTAGAGGTAGTGAGAAGCTGGCAGATACAGGATATAGTTTGATGGTAGAGCCTCCAGGATTAGCTAATAAATTAGAAGAAAGGAATCAAGATTAACTATAAGATTTTTGGCATGAGCAACCAGATGAACAGTGATTCCATTTACTGAGAAGGGCAATGCTAGGGGAGGTGCCAATCTGAAAGAAGCAAATCAAGAGCTTGGTTTTAGACACATTGAGTTTGACATTCCTATTAGACATCCAAGTAGAGATATCTAACAGGCAGTTGGATAGAAACACTAGGATTTCAAGAGAAAGTTCATGAGTGGAGATATAGATTTGGCATACAACTACATACACATGTGTAGTTGGTATTTAATACTATGGGAAAGGATGAGATGAGATCACTTGAGGAGTGAATGTAGCCAGTAAAGCAGCTCGAGGGCTGAGTTGTGCAGCATAGCAATATTCAGAAATGGGGAAGAGGAGGAGGATCCAACAGAGGAGGCTGAGACCAGGCAGAAAGGAATGGAGAGAACCAAAGTCCTGTCACATGACTGTGTGAAGCAAGTGTTTCACAAAAGAAGGAGCAGCCAACTGTGTTAGATGCTGTGAAGCAGTCAGAGAATGGACCATCAATCTGGCAACATGGAGGTAACGAGCAGCCTAGGTAAGAGTGGTTTCAGTGACATGACAGGTACAAAAGGCTGAGTATAGAAGGTTCAAGAGAGAAAGCAAAGTGAGGAATCAGAGGAGTAGAGACAGTTCTTTAAGGGTTTTGCTGTAAAGGCAAACAGAAAAAATGGGTGATAGCTGGAGAGTAATGGAAGGTCAAGAGAGGTGGAGATTTTGTTTTTAAGATGGGAGATATTTGAATCTTGTCACGTTGATTGAAATGACTCAGGAGAGAGGGAGAAAATGATGATGCAGGAAGGACAGAAGGCAATTGAAAGAGCAAATGGGTAGGCAGGAGAGGCTGATATTTCGTGGAGGGGTAGGTCTTACATAGGAGCATAAACATTCCATCCTTTGTAGCAGGAAGCATTCAGGTGCACAGGACACCACACAGTAGGATGTAGATGTGGTGGGAGGATACGGATGTCCTTGTCTGATGGATCCAATTCCTCGATGACACAAGACTTGGAGTCCTTGGCTAAAAGGAAGGAGAAGGAATTGTTGAGAAAAGAAGGTAGGAAATGGTTTCGGAAGAGTAGGGGTTAGGTGTTTCAACTACTAGATAAATGTTGTGGATTATTGGGCAGCCTTGAGGGCCCATTTGAGATCCATGGTCATAATTATAACATGGGACCAATCAGCATAGCTGTGAGTTTTACCAGCTACATTTGGCACTTCAAGTACAGGCAGGCATGGAGTAGGTGGAGAGCTGGATTGAACAAAGTGTGTGTGTGTGTGTGTGTGTGTAAGATGAAAGAAAAAAGAAGCAGGGGATTTGAGACAGTGGTAAGCAAGCTTAATACCGGAAATCCCGAACACATCAAGGGGACTAATAAGAAAAATAGACAACAACAAGGAGGGATCGTGGGTGATAGAGTTCTGATGGTTCTGGCTTCAAAGGAGCCAGAGATGGCTCGAGAGGAAGGAGGAACAGTGTCCAGGATAGCACAGTGGCTGACCCCCCTCACTGCCTTGCCCAGCAGTGTGAGGTCTGCAAAAGCAGTGGCCACCACTAGAGAAGACTGCAAGGGAACCCCTGTCTTCAGCATCTCCTGGGCTATGGCTAACGCAAAAAGATGAAGCTGACTCTTGAGAAGAGATCAAGGCTATAGAGGATCTGGCTGAAGACCGATCATGAGACTGAGAGAGCAAGATGGATGTTACCGGAAGAGAAGAGGTCGGATCAGGGGATGTACTGTGTCTGCAGTGAGAGTCTGAGACAGGACAATGGCTGAAGTTAACAAGGATTTAGGGTACACTTGGGAGGCTGGTCTCTTAGGCAGCTTAAAATGGTGAAAGAAGACTATTAGTAGCATAGACTGGATTTGACCAAGAAGACAGAACTCTGGGGAAGCCCCTTTTCCCCTTCAGTCCTGTCGTGAGTGGGCTGTGTGGAAGGTGGAGAAGAATTGATCTTGTCTAGAAATGAAAGGTAGGTCTGGATCAACAACTCAAAGGTCCCGTTAATGTTTCTTCCTATCCTTTGACCTGACCAACTTTTCACTTTCTATCATGGCCTCATTTGCCTGTTTGCCTTACTTAGACTCCATGATCCATCATTCTAATCACTGCATTGGATGTGTTTACAATACACCCTTCGCTGCCTCCTCATGCGCCTGCCATCCCCTTAATTCAGGAGCTGATCAATGCTTGCCTGGTTTTCTTGCATATCTTTCTAACTAGTCTTCCTGTCTCCATTCTCAGCTCCTCTCCCTGATACACCCTCTCTGCTGCTTGCATAAATGCAAATCATCATGTACCATCTCCCTGTTTAAACCACCGCACCCCAGTCATGGGGGCAGTGTGACGCAATGGAAAGAACATTGGATCGCACCCAAGAGTCTTTGCTCATGGCGGGCTAGGAGCAAGTTACCAAACTACTCTGAGCCTTGGTTTTCTCACCCTTAAAACTGTTGAATAATTAGAATATTTTTTACCTTGATGGATTTCTGTGAGGATCAAATAAGAAAATATATAGAATGCATGAGCCACAGCACAATTGGGGCTGGAAAAAATAATAATTCCTCTTCATAACAAAACCATAAAGCCATTGAAGATCTATCTGTACTGTTCTCTTGTCTCTTTTCAACCCATTTCCCGCCTCAGCACTTCACTTACCATTTCTATCATGTAACCCAGTCCTATTTAATGAGTTGTCTTTTATTCAAATATACTCACATCCCTGGCACCTGCTGTTGGTTTTGCTTGTCTGTTTACCTAAGTGTCTTTCCCTCACCCTTCTTTGCTCAAGTCAAAAAGATTACTTCTTTGTGTAGCCTTTTCTGACTCCCAGAGTAGTTAAATGCTTTTCTTCAGTGTCTCAAGCATGTGCCTCTTTTATAGGGCTCATCATTTGAACTATAATTGCTAGCTAACATGGTGACCTCTGAGACTATGAGGTCCTTGTGGGAGGGACTGGGTCTTATTCATATTTGGTTCCCAGTGAGAGTGCAGAGCTTGCCACAGTATGGGTAATGAGTAAAGGTTTGTTGACTGACTGACTGACTGAGTCACTGACCCTGTTTTCCACATAGGTTAGGTTTAGTGTGTATACAAGGGCACAGAAGCATGTTTAGTTGAAAGAAACAAAGCTACTCAAGGTCACTTGAGCATAAAGGTGGTTTATCAAGAGGACTGTGGTGAAGACTATCACAGATCTCCAAGGACAAGACACTAAATACCTTCCAGACACATGGGTCTTGTAAAAGGGCAGTGAGACGCCCAGGTTACAGTCTCTGTTTCTTGTTGGAACACATGCCATCTGTTTTCTTTATCTGCTTCATCTTCCGGCTTCTCCTGTCCAAG